TTTCACTAATTCCATTGTATTGGTTAGGTGTCAGATAGACGGACAGAGTTGTAATTTAAATGTCCATGACAATCGTGTGAAATGCAACGAAAACAATGCACAGCACCGATATAGGATTACAAGAAGAATAGAAATAATAAGAAGTAGTCAAGACAAAATAATAGATTTATCGAGACATGGTTCGAGCGAGAGTAGGTGGAAAGTTTTGACCGCCGAAACACTACAATCGCTTAGTTTGTGTTGACATACGTACTTAGGTCAACAATGAAAAGACTTGTAGATGGCAGAGTAGGGTTCCTAATCTTAAACGATCCGTTAGGCATCTGCAACAATCCAGTTTAATATAATATATTTAAACGATTAAAAATGTTTTTAAACAACTTTAATAATATCGTCGAGGCGATTAAGTATGCCCAGGTGGGTGGGGTGGCGTAGGAGGGGGACAGTCCGTACGAATGAAAAATGAAGTGTGATGCGTGCACAAAAGGTGGACGCTGGTCGAATACCCAACTGCGCGGTGTGAGGGTTTTTTTTGGGGGGGAGGAGGGGAAGGATTTTTAATAATAACAATAATAATAACTATAACAATCGCGGAAAAACGTGCGTGCACGCGTTCAAAACGATTATTAATTAAAACCGGATTCGGCGGCGTTTTGAAAATAGAACCGAGTTTTAAAGGTGGGTAGGGGAATGGGGGGGGGGTGCCTTTACTGACAAAAGAGACGTTTGCCGGTGCCGCAACCTCGTTTTTGGAAAACGATCATTAATCCGAGAACGGCGCGGTTAGGCGGCAGCTTTTCCCACAAGGCGTTATTAATATTCATTTAGTGTCAAGATTTCACTCGCATCGCGCCCCCACCGCAGCAGACTCCGCCACGCGTCCCCCTTGCTCCTGTTTTACCGTTTTAAACATCGCCATTATCCTACCACACCCCTCTCCCCGCGACCCTCTAAGCAACCTAATACCATACCACCCCCCCCCCCCCATAGCGCCTCCCAGGCACGTCGCCGGTAGAGAGTAATAATCGAAATTGCCGTTGACTTTTCAAAATGACGTGGACGAAACGGTTTTGTTTGGTCGGCTCTCGGCGGCCAGTAATATGTTGGTACCGCGGAGCCCTAAATAATTGAAAATAACTCCGTTTCCCCTTTTGTCCCTTTGACCCGTGATGCATCCGAGTCGGCTAACGCCAGCACAAACGGGAGGTCGGAACTTACAATCTCCCACGAAAAGTCTTAATCGCACTCGTCCGACTAATGGAGCGCAAAGGAGTTTAGTTTTCGGTGACACTAGCTTGTGTGTTTTTAGCCGACCACGTATTTTTTAAATATGTTTAATATTTTGTCCGTCGACAACGGTGGTCGCAGAAGAAGTCGGACAAAGAGAGAAGAAGATTAAGGCAAAAAAAAAAAACAGCAGTGGCCATTACTCTGTTGGTGGTTGTGCCAGCGGTGGTATTAGAGGTTGAAATAATTTCGGCCGAGCAAAATCGAGGGAGGTAAATATTTAGTCATTAAATTACACAATGAAAAAAAAAGAAGGGAATCCGCAGATTTTATGTATGTGTTCGTTTTATAAGATAATATTAATACGATAACGAGGAGTAAAAAAAAATGTAAGTTTTGTTTGGAAGTAAGAAAAAGTGAAATTGCTCTTATTATACCATTTGAATGATGATGGTACAAAAAGAGTGGCGGTGAGCGGCGGTTTCGTTTACTTTGTTAATTTTATATGTCTACAACAATATTCTTGGATAATCGACTTATAATCATCCAGTCAACTGTTATTTTTAATGCCATCAACCGCCGTTTTTTTTCCGTTGCATTTTTACCATCGTTAATTCCGTTTTATTTCGTTAACAAAACGCAAACAAACTACTTAAAAAGTCGAGTTGGACGGTCGTCGGAAATCCATTTAAGCATAATATTGTGTACAGTTAATATTTGAATGCAAACAGTAAATTGCGTTAAAAAAAAAATTAGCCGCGATCCGTCTTTCATTCTCGGAATATTTTTTTTGTTTGTACAAACCAATTAAACAATTTACAAATTGGTTTCATAAATCATGACGTTATTAAGGGAGGGGGGGAACAATGCTGCGCTCTCGACGACATTTTCCCTTGGGACGCGCGTGTATGTGTGTCCTTTTTATTTATCCCTCAACCGCCGCCTTTCCGGAGTAGGATATAACAATTGCTTAAAGTAAATGTTAGGATAGGACGGGTGGTTAGCGGTACTTAAATTTCTAATCTCTGTTGTCTTTTTCACTGATATCTAGATTATTACTAAATAGATTTAAATATGGTGGGAGAGATTATAAAAGAGTAGTTATTTTTAGTGATAATTTTTTGATAGAATTATGAATGAGCATCATGCAAGAGGTAGGAGGGAATAAAGGTAATCGTCGGTTTGATTGTGTTGAATAGAAATGAAATGCTGAAGCAAGTGCAATAGATTAACAGACTTAAACGAGACAAATTATGTATAAATCTATTGACACGCCGTCGCCAAACGGTAATATTAAAACTTTTCCACCTCTTGTGCTCGACCGCAAAAACAATATCCGTTAATCGGTCGCGAAACTTTTTCCGTTCGTCCGAAATAAATTATTATCGTTGTTGTATAACTTATTATGCCGATAAATTATTATTTTATAAAGCGACAGGCAATCGTTGGCTTCGTCGTCCTCTTTGAAACACAAATCACGTTTTGCTTCTGACTCAACAAGTAGCGGAGAACTCGGATGAGGCGTAAGACAAGCGCGCCGATCTGCCGTTTATTTCTCAACGATAAACGATCAATTTATATTTTACTAACTCGAACACCCTAAGCCCCCAAACGTTTATCGGCGGTATTTGAGAAACCCTACGGTGACTTAATGGATGATATTAATAATCATAGTGGAAGTCAATAAACCGTGTTTCGGCGAGAAATTGCAGATAAGGTGGCCGTCGCTTCTAAGAGGGTAGAACAACCTCTTAGAAATCTATTAGAAAGGGATCCCCACGCCGCGCCGTATTTGCTCCGTTTCCCTTCGGCTTTTGCCGACACGTAGACCGTGTACCTAAGCTTTTCGATACATTTCCATACTACGGTTCGGGGATCTCGTTTTTCTTTTCAATACAACTTACCCCTGCGATATTCGTCCTCTCCTCCGTGCTTTTTTTATGCAGCGAAATATCGCCCGAGCTTCTTGCCGGCAGCACTGGGGGATGAGAGATTAACCCGCGCGCCCGTAATGGATTAGTTGAACCTCAAAGGGATTGATTCGGCAGCAGCAGCACATCGGGCACGAGTCGATGGCGGCAGGTTAATATATTTTGCCGGCGGCCATCACAACCGCGTGTGTGGCGGAGCAGAGGAATATATAAAGGAATCTGGAGTTGTTTGCGAGTCGTATAATTGATGGATGAAAGTTGCCGAATTAAATGCACGGTAAACCTATCGGTATTTGAAGACAAAATTATGCTAAACGTAATTAAATTTGCAAAAATACCCGATCCCACCTTCCAACTAGTATATCTCTGATGTCAGCAAACACTAACCGGATGTATACGTAGGATTTCCAGCTGTACGATTCGAAGGGACGATGCTGAGAACGGAATGATTTTACCGATTGATTCCCATAAGATATGAGTCAATGAGAGAGTTCAATAGGAATTTATGGTGTTAAAGACAAATGCAAAAACCAGTGGATTTATTAGTATTGGCAGCGAGATAAGGTTGATGATTCTTATCCATCAGCATATTGTTGTTACAGGGCGCCATAGTAATGTCATATAAGTATTTATATGGTTCCATGAACTCTTTCCAATAACCAAGAAGGAGATTAAATCTCGTGAGTGCACGCAATCACGCTCTCGAGAAGCTGCATTCCGATCGGCGAGAATGAATAGACCATTGACCATAGGGTATATGATTTTCCTTCGAGGTGACCTCTTGCTTTTGTCTGACTTTTGAAAACATTCAATATCTTTTAATCAAACCGTAATAAGTTTAAACAACATGTACCTAATACTCAACAGTCTTCGATCAAAATATTTCTCATTTGATTTCGCTGATCAGAATCCTGTGTTAAACGGGACGATGGCATCTTACGCGGGAAATTAAAAAGGGAAGTAGAAATTGTTTTTGTATCCGTCTGTAATGAGTTATCGCACTAGTTCGGGAAAAAAAAATGTGGTCGAAGGGCGAACTTGTATAATCCCGCGTTGATTTACGATCCAGTCGATCTTGAAGCGCTAAATCAATTAACAAGGGAGGCCTACGTGTTGCTGGGGCGTACGGCGCTCGTTTAAATCATTTATACTGCTATAAATCTCGGTTAGGTGACCCACACAAAACAACAGCAATAAACGACGTGTAAGATAACGATGGTGTCTCCCTGCAAAGCTTTATTGCTGCGACCAACAATCAATTCCCTTGGACATAAATACTTTGTGCGGGTAGAATACGTGCCTGTCCACGACTTGGTTTAATTGGAATTTAATTTTAAGTTTTTCGCTGTATCTCTCTCGATCAAAGTTATTTTTTTTTCTCGAATTTTTTTTTTTGATTACGCTGCAAAGTAACGATTTGTGTCGTGTACAATATGTAGTCATAAATATTTCGCTAATATCCCTTTAACTTTGTCGGTAGAAAGTTTACTCGGTACTTTAGACAAGGTTTCGGCAGATGTTCTTTAATGTTACGATGTCAGCCACAACGGGGTGCAGAGTATATAATACATAACATAAAAGCCAGACAAGCTCAAATGAAAATTGAAAATTCCCAAAAGTAGTGAAATACCTACGTATAATATCTCTCTTCTTTAAAAAAAACAACAAAGAAAAATATACCCCCAAAACATCCGGTCGTAAAACCTTTGCGACTCTGTCCTCCTGACAAATACCGATGCACTGGACTGTATTATTTTGCTTGCGTTTGATCAACTGAAAATCAAACTGCGATCGTCGTACCCGGAACAATATTAATATATTTATCTTTTTCGTTTGTTTCAGATTTTCTCCCGTTACGGCAAAGTATTGAAAATCGTCACGTTCACCAAAAACAGTAAGTATACAATTACTGTAACTAGTATGCCTGACGCAAAATTAATTTAAAAACTACTTGCTCGACCAAAGTTGGTGACATTAAAATACAATCTATGATGTCGACAAAAAAGTAACACAAATCAGAAGTTTAATGGCTTATTTGGAAATTTTTCGAACAAGTACAATTTCTACTTAATTTCAAGTTAAATGTATTATAATAGATTTTTTCTACTATTATGTACGCTATAGTTTTTAAAACAAAAAAAAGTTTTATGTTAATTTTTAAAAGGCGACACAATTGTCAACATTTATTTATGCATTTGGGATATTTTTTTAATTCCTGCATTTTAAATAGCTTTAATAATACCCTTAAAAGTTTTAGTCTTCGACAAACGCGACTTGGAAGTATTCTATATAATCTTACGAGTGGCAATTAGGAAAATATAAAAACTTTTAAAACTGCTCTTTTGGACGTCTCATAATTTTTGGACTCTTAACCCAAATCCAGTTCGAATCTAGGGCCTTTGTTCGAAATTAACATATATCAAAAACTACCAAGGATGGTGTTTGGGGTTTTTATCACAAAATTTTGTTGCTTGGTGTAATTTGTCGTCTCCGTCGATGGTGGCGTATAAACTCTACACACTTGTGCTCGTAGTACCCTTTGGGTGGCAAAATCGCTTGAAAGAAAGATGGGGGGGGAGGTTTACCTTTATCCATTTATCTTGGGCTCGCCGCCGATCTATCACTGCTGCTCTCGTGCCTTTTGAGAATAAACCCTGCGGAAAACAACGGCGGTCTCTCCCGTCGTATAGTCGTCGCACATCAAGAAGTTTTGCTCGGCTCGTACAATTAATCATATCTTCATTTTGTGTGTCCCTCCCATTCTTGCTATTCCTTCTCCTCACCTGACGGCCACGGTGTGTAATGTTGTCGTCGTACATTAATTAACGTTGCGCTACATTACCCCCACCACGGCCACCCTCGGAGCTTTTCTTCTCTGATGGAATTGTAGTATGTATAAGTATATTTTTCTAAAAAAAAAAATATAAAAATATTTATACGAAAAAGAACCCCCGGTGCTCCGCGTAGGTAGGTAGGTAGGCTCTTTTATAGTATTTTTCTCTTATTATACGTTTAATTTTTGCGACCGCGGAAGAAACACAAAAGAAAAAAAAACGTTTACCGCGTATATATAACCTTTTTGCCAGCTCGCCAAAAAGATAACCAAAGCACATACCGAAACAATGAAATTTCTCCTCCTTTCACCGATGGCTTTTTACCCATTAATTTTCGGCTTATTGTTATAGCATCTAAACACTACCCACACGCCATCAGCGCCTAGTCGGTGTATATTTTGTAGAAACTGGGCATTTTAACGAGTTATAAATTGAAATCGTAAGCTGGTCACTTTGAGATGTAAACAAAATCACGCCGTGGCTAATTTTAGTATCGTTTACTCTGTGAAACTCCTCGCAGACGTGTGTGTTTATAATAAACAAAATTACTATATACTGGTGGTTTTCTGTGAAGACGGTAGAATATAAGAAACCGACAAGCGGCCAACGAGTTTTATCTTGTATTTTCATACATGATAACAGCTGCAGATTTGTGGTGATAACAGAGTCTGTTATCTGATAACTGATGGTAAAACAAGTATGATAAGAATTTGGTATTGAACTTATAAGGTTTTATCGGCCTCTCATAAAATACAAAATGGCGGTCGTTGAATTTCTCATCACCAGCGATGGCCGGCCGATTAATTCCGTTATCTTTTCTTCTCGTTTGATTTGTGTAAATTCTGAATTCGCTTATTCTGTCGTTGTTTAAATTTAGTTTTTTATACCACTTTTAATTTGACGAGGAACTTTGTAATTATAATGTTATACTTTTAATATCAATAACCGTTCAACACTTTTTACTCCAACAGATTCGTTCCAAGTGTTGATCCAGTATCCAGATGTGGTGACCGCGCAATCCGCAAAATTGGTACGTATAACATTTAATTGTTTTTAAATGTACGATTAATCGATTTCGTCTAAATGCCTAACATAGGCGTAATCTCGAAAGTGCAAACGGGTGTACTTGCCCCCTTCTCCCCTCGCCCCTTAAATATTGACCGTATCTAATAGATTGGCAAGGTGAACCGTAGCAACTATATTCAATTGTTGTGTGATAAGTTGCAATGCTACAATATGATTAAAGTGACCCTTGATTTCGAGTTTTCGCCTATGAATTTATTGTACTTAATATAATACAAATATAAAAAAAAAAAAACCACAAAAAAACGTGTCCTTACTTTTTGTGCAAACCATGTCTGAATCACAGTCATTGGACGGACAAAATCTGTTCCATACCGGTCATTTGTTTGACCTGTCGCATTTGAATAACGTAAGTTCCCACCTCCCCTGTATGAACCCTCAGCAGCATTGTGTGTTTGTGTGTATTCCTTCTCTCAGTATAATTCAACGTTGTACCTCCGCATCGTTGACGTCTTCTCCGCATGTGTAATAGTAGCTTATAGCTGTAGAAATAATATTATTTTCCGTTGTATGATTTTATTAATAATTGTAATAACACACACGAGTACCTTTTATTTATTAAATCCCCCTATTGTTTATCGCGCTTGCAAACGATCATGATTTCAATAATGCAATTAATTACTTCGATTGCTGATCCACCGCTGGAGACGCTAGGGTGTGTCGTGTATTACCCCGTCTATGTATTTTTATACTTTCTTCAGTATACCTTTCTGTACCTCAGAACCCGACGAACGTAAGTAACGTTATGCCAACTCCTCATGTGAGTATAAACGGCAAACTTGTGATAACAACCTGAAAATAGTAATTTTTGGACGAACGTTCGTCTAGTTTAGAGGTACAGAACTGATATTAGAAACTTTGTTTACCTTTTTTCTTTTTATTATTCTCATTTTTCTTTTTTTACATAATCTATGTTTATGCTATGACATCTTTCTAAGGTTCAGAATCTAAGCAATCAACAGGGAAAACCGGCCGATAAGAAATATAATAGTTATAGTATTGGTGATTGATAATAGGAGAAATCAACTGATAAGAAATACGAAAGTGATTGGTAAGGTGGAATATTGAAGGCAAACAACGGATAAAAGCAATAATGGTGATTAATCAGCCAAGAGGTATAATGTTGATTTATAAAGGGGAAGATAAGAGGAAAAGTCGATAGTGATGGGAATGATGATCGAAATAGAAGGCAATTATTTAAGATAGCTACGCGCTCATTCTGTAGCTAAACTACAAAAAAAAAATACTACAACTCTTCTTTGTCATCTTTTGTTACACAAACCCTAATCAGCCTTTTTATTTTTTTTTTTAAATAGTATCCTTTTTTTTCTTATAATTTCTCATTCGCTGGTTTTTTCCCTCGTACTAAAATCATAGGTCTAATATTTTTTTTACAGTCTTTGGACGGCCAAAACATATACACGTCGTGCTGCAAGCTTCGCATCGAATATTCGAAATTGTCCAGTCTGAACGTTAAGTACAACAACGACAAGTCCCGCGACTACACCAACCCGACGTTGCCCAACGGCGACAACACTGTAATGGAGACCCTGGCCGCTCTGGGCGTGGACCCTGTGACCAGTAACCAGCTGCTGCCGCACCAGATCAGCTTGCTGCTGTCGTCCGGAGTGCCCAACGGTGCGGGATTGCCCCAGGCCCGCCGACAACTGGCCACCAACGCCGACCACAGTCGTCTTGCAGGTCAGTGCCCGTCCACTACCTCCTACAGTTCACAGAGGATTCTCATTGACCGATTTTAGCCCTGAGCAAATTTTATTTAAACAACTTTAGCTATCAATCCTCAGATTTGTTTGCAGTCTATCTCTGTTGTTCGTTTCTGTGGTCAGCCTTTCTTGCAAGTTCACTGATTTCGTCAAACTATTTGAGCTTGAATAATTCGTTTCACTATCTCCTTTTTATCTCTTCAATAATTGCTAATTATACTACCTGAGTATGTTAACTCATCCATCCACAATTTCAATAACTAAAGCACGGATTTGAACGCAAAATGCATTTTTCCCCTCTACGGACCAACGCAATAATGCTCAATTTCCTTTACTCTTGAGATTGTGCGCATCCTCTTCACCGTTGCTCCTCCTCCTACTCTCGCCTGACGCCGTGCTAATGCTGACGATTCTTTTATTTCTTCCCTTCTTAATGGCTCCATTGATGCTCTTGACTTACCTCCTCGGTGTCAATCCGTGTCCCAGCTTACTCCGCTAGAAACCACTTATCACAACAGCCCCTCCACAGATGTGAACTCTTTTTTTGCCCTGTACTCCTGCTCATTGTTTTTATTCTTCCCAAACCTCTCCGAAACAATTATTATATTACTTGTGCAAATTTTGATTAATTTTTGTCGGTTTTGTGCGTTAACAGGCAGTCCGGGTATGTTGACGCAGTCGTTTAATGCCGTCCACGGACTCACATCGCCGTTGGCCACTTCCTTCGGCAACTCACCGGTGTCAAGTATGCCGCTCGGGTTCACGTTACCCGGTGGTTCGTTGGCGGCCAGTACCCTCAGGCTTCCCGGCCAAATGACCGGCCAGACGTGCGTGCTGCTCGTCAGCAATTTAAACGAAGAGGTGACAGAAATTATTTCATTTCTTCCACATAACATATTATTATTATTATTATTATAATTATTGTAAAATGTATTTCTATGATATTCATACTCTTATTGTAACGATCGGTCTATTTCACCGTTGATCCAATGGTAATCAATCAGTTCGTAAACGATTTAACAATAACACTTCTCATTGTGTGTCTCACGACCACACAAACCTTCCATTAGTCAATAATAACAAATATTGATACATATATTTATTTACTATTATTATGATATTGTTGTTGTTCATTTTTTACTGAAAAAACTCTGTTTTCTGTTTTTTTTGTTTTCGGCTTACCCTAACGGTGATGCTACTACTACTACTACTACTACTACTGCTGCTACTCAAAACAAAAAAAAAACAAATCTGTCTCTGTCTAACTCTGCCGCCACGGAAACACCTTTTAACTCTTTCTACGACAAAACCAAATATTATATAAAACTTATCGCTTCGTAGATGGTCACGCCAGACGCTATTTTCACTTTGTTTGGTAGGTGCATTTATATACTTAACTTATACTGTTATTTTTTAATATGAAATATGTACCTTGTATCTTTGTGTCTTCGAGGGCAGTCGGAAGCTCTTTGCCAAAGTATTAGCTGTCAATTTTTTTATTTAACTATTGACTTCCAACTGCCTTCCTTTAAAACAATGTATTTATAATATTTTATAAGTCTTATTTTTATAATAATATTTTATTATACAATAATATAATACTCTTCTTATGTTATTTTTTCTATTTATTCGTAACAAAATATGCATTACGCACGCCACATTACATTTTTGTATTACTTCATATTTCTTTTTAGTTATTCATCTTTTGTTTTACTGTATCTAGGCGTCTATGGAGATGTGTTACGCGTAAAGATCCTCTACAATAAAAAAGACGGAGCTTTGGTCCAGATGGCTGAACCTCAACAAGCACATTTGGGTTTGTAATAATCTTAACAATGTGAAATTTAAACAACGACTCTTTTTTTAAACAAATAATTTTCTACCGCAGCCATGTTACATTTGGACAAAGTTCGTTTGTACGGCAAATACATACGAGTAATGCAGTCCAAATACCAGACGGTCCAGCTGCCCAAAGAGGGTCAGCCCGATTCCGGACTGACTAAGGACTACACGTCTTCACCCCTGCACCGATTCAAGAAACCGGGCTCGAAAAACTACCAAAACATTTATCCTCCGTCGTCTACTCTACATTTGTCAAATATACCGTATGTGATTTTTTTTTTTTTATCCAATGTTTATTTGTACGCACTATTGACATTTTTTCCAATTTTAGGACAACATTATCGGAAGACTTCCTGAAGACTGCTTTCGAAAACAACGGTTTTACCGTTAAAGACTTCAAATTTTTCCCGTTAGTATTGTAAAAACGTCGCAGTTATCACATTACATATTCATTTATTCGAATATATATTTATCTATTTTTTTTTTTTTTGCAGTAAAGACCGTAAGATGGCACTTATCCAAATGGAATCTTTGGAGGAAGCGGTCGCCGCATTGATTGTAAGTAGTTTCTTTGGTTGCTGCGACGACATTTGCGGTAAAATGTTTTTGGTCAGAGATAACAGCATATTTTTTGTTTTTTTCCCCCATAGAAAATGCACAATTATCGACTCAGCGAACAAAATCACTTGCGTGTGTCGTTCTCAAAGTCCAACATCCAGCCGGATGTGCTGACGCCTAACTAAGAGATCCCACTTCCCCTACGCTTTAAAAGTTACTTGGACAGTGTTGTGTCGCGCACAACAGTCAACGATCTTTATGAACACGACCGGGTGTTTTACAAGTATTTTTTATTTTTATTATTATTATAATTATTGTTTCATATTTTAAATGTATTCGTAAAACAGTATTATTTTTTAAATTTTATTATTATTATTATTCTGATTTTTTTCTTTTTTTTTTTTACACAATTAACTTTTAATGTTTCTATTTACTTATTTTTCCTATAGTATTATTTTTTATTCGAATAGTATTTAAATGTTGATGTTTTTTTTCCATCATTCCTCTAAGTGTCTATATACTTGTGTATTATTTATAATTTATATCATATGTGTATGTTGTGTAATAACGTTTTTAAGAAGGCCGACTTTTGTGGCCGTAAAAATAATATTTATGATTTTTGAAGAAAAAAATTATTTTTAGTTAATAGAGAAATCGTCACCAAAGGATGCGATAAAAATGTATATTGAGCAATCGCACTTTATTTGTATGTCATTTTCATGCGTATTAGAAATTTTTAACATTTATTTATTTATACTATACTTATACTATTATTCTTTTATATTCTGCTCTACAATTATGTTTTATTTTTTAGCTTAAAACGGTTTTCTTTTTTTTATACGAGTAATTTTTAATGATTTGTTTAGATCAATAAACTGTTTATTTTTTATTTTTTTTATTTTTTTATTTTTTTCTGTGCGGTAACAATTTGCGTTTTTGTTTTCATTTTATTTAATAACTAATTTATATAATATTTTTGAGAATCTGATTTTCTGAAAAAAAAATCTTATTCTTTTTACGATACTATACCTTTTATCCAGAGCAATGTAAACCCTCACGAGTTCACATCGTAATACTGCAAAGAATTTGAATTTTTACCGTACAGCGTTTTGTTATTATTTCTCCACCGTTGCGCTTTTATTATTTAATTATTATTTTCCTCGTTTTGCTTTTCCGATTTTCCTTTTGGTTTTTATATTATTTGTTGTTTAGTAGAAAAGAAGCAGACATATCGCAAATCAACTATCACAATCATTTCTGTAATATATCTAAAAAAAACTTACAATATTATCTTACTGTTAATTTTTTTTTTTTTTAATTATTAATATTATTCGATTTTTACTTAGTTAAGTTTTAAGTCGGAGTGTTGTTTTAACAAATTTATGTGAAAGCGAATAGCTTAAGAGTAGACGACAGGAAAATGTTAGTTTTTTTTTAGACACAATTATTTGTTATGTTATAATAAACTAAGGGTTTTTTTTTTTTTAAAAAATTACTCTGTAGCTGTTAGTCATAATAATAATAATAATTAACTCGTTAAGAATGAATGCCAATGTGACAATCAAAATTCTAAACGACGTGTACGCTAATCGCGCGTAACGTCTATACTGTTCTTGAAAAAACTCGATGGGCAGACGATAATACCAAAGTTATACACGATGCGACGATTATTGATATTCTTTGGTGATATTTATTGTGTGCCCACGTCTTGAATTTTTCGTTTTTCTCATTATTATTAATTATCTTAATCGTATTAATATTAATTAATTAAACAAACTTAGTTTTTACCTTCGATGGTGTCCTCGAATTCTGTTATCCAATCAACGATGGCCGTCTTCATCCTACCCATGTCAATTTGTGCGCACTTTACTATGCGTCACTCGCAATAATGATTCATTATTATTAAAATTGTCATTTATTTAGTTTAGACATGTATTTATATATTTAGTGCATAACAACGTTCACAACAATCATCGTAGCTAATTTACGGTATTTTAACTAGGACAATCTTTTGTTTGGGTTCGCCTCGTGTGGAGCCGGACACGTTTAGATATTATTATTATTATGTATTTGAATTAAGAGAGTGACATATTATTATTATTATTATTCTCGATCCGATCCCACCAGTATAAAATATTGAAGTTAGTAGTTGAATATGATTAAATGTTATTATTAATGTATATTATTATTATTATTATAAATGAATCGTTTAGTTATTCTATAATGAGATAAAAATTAATTATATATTATATTTAATATATAACGTGTAGGCATCATGTACTAGATATGAGTTTTGTTTCACACTATGTACTAGGTCTTGTAAAAAACCATTTATAAGCGTAAACAAATTATTAATAACGATAATAAGAATAATACTTAGTCGAAGCACAAGCAGTTCTGTCTCACACTTAAAGTATGTTTTAATCTTTTTGATGTTTCTGCATGTTTTTTTTTTTTACACTATCGTACAATATCTCAGTGACTCTCACGACACTCGACACGACTTGGGGGTAATTTTTAACAGTAGCCATCAGAAAATGTTAACCCCAAGACACTTACTCTTATCGTATCTCGCGTGTACGGGAAAGGTTGTTTGAAAAACTCCACTTATGGTTTGAGACGGTTATTTAAGACGAAATCAAACAAAAAGATTAAAATTAACTAGTTTATTTTACAAAAAAAAAATAAATACATATATTAACCTACCAACTGTAAGAAATTATTGAATACAAAATTCACAAGGAATTTTAAATGATAAAACTAAAATAAATACCTTATAAGGTAAAGGGGACAAATGAAAAACGATAACCGCTTTGTGGTCGATAAGAATATTATTATTTTATTTTACCTGAATAACTTACCCGTTTTAGAGAGTTTTTCAAACAACCATTCTTGCAAGTTTATTTCTACATGATAATTTGTCTATAATTAATTTGTTTTGTTTCTACAATAATAAGTAATTTTATTTCGAAACCTAGTGCCAAAATTACAGCTCTAAGTTTTTATAAAATTTATTAAATGTATGATGAATCGGTAGTTTCTTTTTTTTTGGCAAGGGTATAATCGACAATCAATTAGGGGTGCGAACAATCATTAGCATTAAAATATTGCAATCAATCAACTTATCTTTTTTCTTTTTCTTTTTGGTACGAAACGTATTTATATTATAAAACGTTTTGTGATTGATTTCAACTATAAAAATAATTAATCGATAACAATCATGATAGAAACAAAAGAAAATTTAAAAATTATGTACCATTACTTTATAATATTATTACTATTATTGTGTAATCTTGTATCATCTTCTTGTATATCTTATTCTTATGTCATGTTCTTTTTTTTATTACCTTTTCTACTAATTTATTATTTTTTACAATGTATTTTGTGACTGTAACATTTTTCTAATTTCTATTTTTCAAAAAAAAATACACACTGTTTTATCTTCGAATCTACTTTGTATATACTTTCTCTCTATCTCTTACTTATAACTACTCTTTCTCTCTCTTTATCTTTTAACGCCTTGATCTCATCGAAATATAATAAATTATATGGATAACACATCGCTTTACTCTCATATAACACATCCGTATTACTCTTATAACAGAGCAGCATCTTTATTGTGTTTGTAAAATGATTTACCCTATTAAACAATTGTTCCAACTTAACCAACCTGGCTTACAATTCAAAAACAAAAACAAAAAATTTGGAATTATACTCGAAATGGGTTTACGACTGTCATCAAATCTTTTCCCATCTGAATTGTTTAAGGCAATACAAAATAATTAGATGACTTTGTTTATAATTGACAGATTAAAATCATAATTAAATTCAGTACTCGTACAAATAATTGAAAAGCTTAAATAAATATTGTAAGCACAAAAAAGTAATAAAAAATAGTTGCAATATTACATTTTGAACGAAATTACTCTTATTACTGATATATATATATATATATCAATTGCCAATAAAGTTTTTGCTTAAAAATAATATTGCTTATAGAATACAAATACTGTACTTGTAAGTGACCCAAAGACATGGTCATGACACCTAACGAGTAATACATTTCTACTACGATAAAATGACAATATCACCGTTGATCAGCAGCCAGTCAAACATCAAAGCTAAGTACCTCCTGGTATACCAACTGAACAATTTTTTTTAATTTTATTTGTCCAAGTCGAAAATGATAAAAACTGTCTCTCATCTCACCTGTTGCGTGCCAGTAAGTTAGGTATGTTGTTTTATAAATGTGTTTACACTATAAATGTTGTTATTTTTTTTTACATAGTGCAGATTAGGTGTGTATAAAATATTTTATTGTGTAATATTATTATTATTATTATTATTAAGGCAATTCAGCCCGCTCAAAAATATTTTTGAATTTTTATTTGTAATAAAGTAAGTTTATAAATGAAGATAAAAAACCAGAACAAAGAACAATGCTTTAACAATGTTAAAATTTGGAATTTTTTTTTTATCACAGTATAAATATTATTGTTTTTCTATATGAGCACCAATTTTCATCCAATAATTGTTTTCTAGTAATTTGGAAATTTGGTAGATATATATTAGCTTTTAACAATATGAAAAATTGGAGAAATTCTCAAACAATCGGGTGAAAAAGTATTTGCCTTTTTAAATTTATTTTAGAGCAAAAAATATAAAACGTAGTAAAAATTAGGTAGTTATTTTAAGTGAACATAGCCAACAGGATAGTCTCTCTGCATAAAAAGATAGTTTAAAAAAAAAATGTTAATCCTGTTTTAATTAATGTACTTGTAGACAAATTGTAATGGTAGTTTTCAACTGGTTGACTAGTGGTCATCTGTCATTGCTTAAGCTAGACTTGTTTTTTTTATATTTATTATTATTAAATTATTAAATATGTTTCAATATAAGTATAATATTTGTATGTATAAATATAAACATATATATTATAATAAAATGTATTATTATAATATGTATTCCTTAAACATTGAACATTTGGACTGTAGGAGCATAATGTTTACTTTGCATAGACATAGCCTGTCTTAGAGATTATAAATTTATATAAAATTACGTTTGTATATTTAAGTATATAATGATGATAAGATAACATTTAAAAAATATAAATTCCTAATATATATATTATATTATTATAATGATAAATCGTTATGTTGATTAAAACATATTATATTAATAAAATATAACGAATTCATTTGTTTTCATTTCATTTTTTATACTATGTGCTCAACAAAATTATGAAAATATAAAATTTACAAACCAACGACAAAGGGTAATCAGAAAAGCCTTGTACCGTCAATCCTTAAATCTATATTTTTCATCCTTTGAGAATGAAAAATGTTTTGAAGATATTTGTTATTAAGTAAGTTTATTACACTCATTAGAGGTACTCGTGTCAGTAAGAGTACCTTATAAATTGTAATATTATTATTTTGTATGGGGTTTACGGTGGACGCATTGTCGTTTTAAATAAGTATAAATTAAGAAATAAATAAATGTTAATAATTCAAAAAAAAAAAAAATGACACATTACAGTGCGGGTCTTTATAGTATAGTGGACTAAAGTAAAAAATATTATAAAATGTAAACCAAAATATACCTAGACCTATTGGCTATCGCCTATAAACTATGAAATAGGTACTTAACAGAAATCTCATATCTCAAATATAAATCAAAATGTCAAATTGTCGGGGGTTGCTACCACTTTTCCCAATTTATATATTTTCCAACGACCACATTTCCTATGGAAAAATTGTTTATTGGGAAAAGTGAATTTGAGGTAAATTGTCCGTTGGGAATGTTTGTATTTCAATAAAATTGAAAAATACCAAATACCATTTTTCCCAACTATCATTTTTTCTAAAATGTAAATATCCTACGGAAATAATAAACATTGGAAATAGTGGTTTATTACATTAAAATAATTTTGGTTTGTTTACCAATAAAATGATACTTTCCAGTTGTTGATAGCGTAATACCTCTGCTGAGCCTATGTAATATTTTTTGATGAATTTGAATAATTAATATTGTAATATTAGTTAGATTTACATGTTTTATTTACCTACAATTATTTATAAGAAAAACGTATAGGTATTTTAACTCCATACTCCATACTCACAGATTGGCTATATAAACTACAAGGAAATGTTTTCTACCAATTCATAATTTTATTTTCTGACTGCTTTTTTTGGTGGTTACTACATGTATAATATGTTTAATTTGCTGGATCCAATAGGCTTATGCTCATGGTAATGAATTATTGTTAATAGATATTAATATTAAAAATAAAAGACACTAATATAACATTCAGCTACATAATAGATATAACATTTCCATGTATTTGTTGCGTCAATTTAAGTGTACTTAACTATTTTAAACATATTTTTGGATATCATATCTTTATGAAATTTAAAAAAAATAGTTTCATACAATATGATTTGAACATTGTCCATCTATGGTATGTTAAATCTATCACAAAACAAACAAAACTATTGCTATTTGTAAAGTTTATGAAAACCAGTACCTAAAAAAAAACTTTTATTTTAAATACATTTTTTGCATGTGTAATTTATCTTTCAATATTAACAATAGTTACTATTTTTTTAAATTATAAACTACTGTATTAAAAATCAATAGTATACATTACATACAAGGTGTGTTTAATAAATACCCAGACTAAAATTCCTACCGATAAACTATTAATGTTAAAACACACTAATTTTATAGAAATTAAATAGAGATAATTTTCAGTACTTAGTTTATAACTAAAGTCATTATTTCAAACTAGTTATTTACAGTGCATGTTCAAAATTATAAATATTATACAAAACCGCGATTCTATGATAGAAAATATTTTGTAATAATTGGAAAAGGTTTTAAAAACTATTAAAAAACTATGGAGACTTGAGTTGATTTTTGGAGATTTTTTTTGTAAAGTCATTGTGTAACTTTTGTATGGTTCAAACGTTTTAAGGAAGGCTAGATTTTCATTGAATACGACCAACATTCTGGGGCGCCTTCAACATGCTCGTGTTTGATAGCCTAACCTTTTATTCATCATATTTCTACCAATTCCATTACAAGAAAGAGTAAAAGTTGAAATAATTTATTGGCATTAAAATTGATTAGCGTATACATACACTGATAAATATTAAACACTTCATTACTCTTGCTGTTTTCAGTCACACTTCAATTAAGTGTGACTTGGGTAAACTTTTTACATCAGTCACATGTCTATATTATGTAACTGGGGTAAATTTTTAACTCACATGAGTGGTTAAGGGTTAATATTAGATGCTTAAAAAGTAATCAATTTAAAATATCTGGTTTGAATAAAGACATATTAGCATTAAGAGATGACTATGCAACTCACTTAGGTAAAATCAAACAAATAATAAATAAACTAGTTAAAAAGAGATAGTTTAAAAATCTAAATAATTGTAGTATTGTAGTATTACGATACTACAATTATGTATAAATTGTTTTATATGAAAAATAAATATTCTTTATCCTAAGTTATCAACAAATAAAACAAGTACCTTACAACTATAAACAGTACTATGCATGCATCACATTTTACACATTTTAATCTATACACATTTGAGTTTATACACACCTACTAACTCAACCTTGTTGATACCTGCTAAACTATTTACAACGCATTGTTTCAGCTTACATTCATGGATTGCAATTATATAATTAGACTAAGAAGAACGAAGAAAGTATAGTGAAGAACAGTCTTATCAATGAAATCATATAAACGCTATTTACTTTATATAAACTCAGTAGATTGTATAACGTGCATTTAATAATATTTATTTGTAATACTAATAAAATTAATTTTAATATAATATAAATCCATTATGTTATTATAATAAAATAATAAGAAATACGTTTTAAATTTAAAAGTACTTATTAAAGAATTTTAAATTAAAATAAATTAATTTTCAGTCCTGCATAAAAATGGAAAAATAACTTATTATTTTAACAGTTTGTTTAATATATATAAAATGAAATAAAAAGATTGATAAATTTCTTTTTTTTATAACATTTTATCATAAAAAAGTTTAAAAATTACTAAGATTTTTTTCTTGATTTTTTCACTGCAAACGTTTCAATTACCGAGTTAGAATTTAATGATGATGTAATAACATACTGTAAAAATATACTGAACTCTGAACATTGATTGTATTACATTTTACAAATTAAGTTATGTGAATTATGTTATATGTAGATTTGACAAGAAATAAAATGTTCTGCAGCTTGCGGGGCCCCCAGAATTTGGGGTCCAAGTGCAAGTGCACCATTTGCACTTGCATAAATCAGGCCCTGTTAATAAACATATTATTTATTAATAAACAAATATTTTCTTTTTTTTCCATATTACTTTTATAATAATTTGAAATTATACACTTAAAATACATAATAAATGCTTATGAATAAAATTAGTTTTTATCAATATATAAGCTTAAACAGTAGGATGTTTTTATTTGTGAATAAAATATTAAATTAAAGTATTAAAACAAATTAATTATACGGGTTATGAAACAACCTGCTACTCATAGTAATATTTAACATATCAATTTTTAGAAAATATTTCATTACAAATAAAAAAAATGTATATTAGTAGTGTTTATAATTAAATTAATTATGACTTATTATTATTATATATAAATATATTTAGCAATTAGCCAATTGGAATAAATAAATAACAGGAAAACTAGTTATTGGTAAACGTTTAACGCAGCACTTTACCTTTATGCACTTTTACCATTTGGGAAAATAAAAACATTAGTAAATGTGTTTAATACCAATTTTTCAGTTATTCTTTTTACCATACACCAGTTTTTCCAAACTACATGTTTTCCTAGTTGGGATAAATTAATATTGGGAAAACTGGTCATTGGTAAAAAGTGTACAATGGAAACAGTGGTCCTTGGTAATATATGCAATTTGGAAAAAGTGGTGTTATCCCAATTGTCGGTTTGAATTTTGGAAAGTAATTTGATAACAGCTAGTAACTGATAAGCGAAACGTAACACAATTGATAAGATGCGATAACAGTATTTTGATACGCAAATTGCTTATCATTTTTGTTTGTTGTGATTTTACAAAAATCAACAAAAAATCATAATATTAAAGCCGTCTTTTCTCGTCTCGTTTCATGAAACGAAATTTGAAGTTTTCTCTAAGGACTTAGACACTCATACAACAAAAGAATGAAATAAAATTAGTTGACATTCTGTGTTAGTTTTCTTGATATAATCGGCTATATCTAATTCAAAAAATGGGCTCTGAACAGAGTTCACAATCAAACGCTTCGGAAAACGGATCAAAGTCGAAAAATGTGAAATTAAAACGAGGAAAGTCGGTGCCTGAAAGCTCTTGGCCGCGTAACTCGCAAGACGGACAGCAGAGCAAGGCAGCCAGCACGAACACTTCACCTGGCCACAGTGTTTGTAGCGATAACGATTTGCCATATGTGTCGTACACTATTAACAGACCGATTGGAGGTATGTGAACGGTATGTAGAATTTATACAATGTCATGTTATATTTTGCGTTGCTTGTAGATTCGCCAAAGAAGCCCAATATAATGACCAGAGGTCGTTCCGTACAAGTCGAATCGAAGCGTGTTGTTAAGAAAACAACTAAAGCCACACCTAAACACAACATTGTAGTTGTGAGAGCTGCTGTGCAAGATGACCAAGACATGGACGAGGATCTATTCAGACTCAAAGTTAGTCGATGGCTACAGTCATAAACTCATGTTTAATTTTTAACCAAATGAAATATATTTTTATTACAAGGAAAATAGTTAAAGTACTTTGCTAGTAATAAATTAATGAATTCTATTCAATAAATTATCCTGCTTAATTTATCCCCATTCATCTGCTATAACGTCCTTAACTCCATCTCAATCAAAGTAATATCTTTAATAATATCCTTTATTCATTCTGCTGGCTTTCTTATTTATATAAGATAACCTTAATATTATATCATTGATTATAGATTGCCCACCAAGACAATTTTCAGTTCTGGATGTCAATACAGGACGGGCGCTATTAGTATCGTTTTCAATGAAAATTATGTTGTGTCAACGTAGAGAACTAAAAATTGACTCGGTGGGCAATAACCGTCGGTTGTTTGATAATTATATGTAATATTGTTGCTCAAATTTTTGTCATTGTCAACCACTATGTTGGTTGTTGAGCTGTTATAATATCTTGTATTAAAAGCTAATAAAAAATAAAAATTAAAAAATCAATTTAAAATTAAATTAAATTTTAAATGGCAAAACAAAATTTCAAAAAATTCAATTTCATATAGTTATCAAACATTTTTATTTGTTTTTCAGCAAGTGCCTAACTTTTTACCAATAATACGAGGCACAGTATCTTTACCAGCAGCCAGAGACAGAGAGGCATTAGAGCGAGTCGACTCAACGTCATTTTATAGACTTTGTCTTAAATATCAATCGCACCTGAATATATGCGCCAAAGCTGTGTCTTCAGATCAGGCATTACTGAACAGAAAAATATCAGAAGTATCTAAATCAAATGTATAAAAAATCCAACAGAATGAATAAATTATATTAATTTGAATTGTATTTTAGCTCGATGAAGAGACAACCCGAATTTTGTCTCTACACACAGCAAACTACAAACATTACTCCAAAGTTATCGAACAGTTCAAAAGCATCAAGGATATGAACAAACAGCTCAACGCTTGCCATTTGTTATTAAACCAAACGCTAGACTCTGTGCAGCTGTTAAATAACAAATTGCCACCCGATGAACGTTTAGAACCGTTTGTATGGACTACGGGTTAAGGCCAAACTATAACTATATTACCCATAAAATAGTCAACACACAATTTTTTTAATTTTATTTTATGTATTATTTTTTTGTCGTTAACTAACTCATTTGTATTAAAACATTATCTCATTGTTCGAATTGAAATTATGCTTTGTTTAATTTCATTTTTTCGATCAGTGTGTATTTTAATTTGTCTAAGTATCCACGGCAAATGAAACGACAGCCTAGTGTAAACATCAGGATATCCGGGCTTGGCACATCCTGAGCCGAACGATGTCAAACCAGCTAGAAACCACCGGCCGTCTAGACCCGAACACTGCAATGGTCCTCCGGAATCTCCCTAAAACCATTGTGAGTACATTGAAAGTTATATACCTAACTTAATTCAATGTTTACACCAAACTCACTACACAAGGACCTCCTCCTTTTCCGTCCATCCGGCCGGCACACAAATGACCATCCGTTATAGGAACCGCTGGCCCGTATTTGTCTTTGCAAACAGTGGTGTTGTGCACTGGCACTTTGATCTGTCTTAATTTGCCCGACAACGGACCGTTCTGTTTGACATTGCCCCAGCCGGTCGTGACGCACACATTGGGTAGTGGCGTTTCTGTTTCATTTGCTGAAGGCGGTAAACATAAACACCGTACATGACTATTGGTAACATTTGTCGACCTAGATAGTTTCATTAATGCTAAAATCAAAACAAAAAGTTTGTAGACTACCTGCAAACAAAAATGTCAAAATTAGGTTCATCTAATCTTGTTTATGTTTACCTATATCGTTTTGATAATTATGGAACATTTCGTGCATGACTATATCGTCGATTGGTATACGCTCTTCGGTATGTTCTTCGACGTCTCGGTTCCAGTCGCCCAAAACCGCCGTCCAAAGAGCAGCCAAAGGTAAGCTGAATTTTTCACTGCAGTACATACAAACAGTATTGGACCAGGGAAATATAAAAGGATTGGACCTACGATACTCACTTGCGTATACAGTGGGCCGCTGTTAAAACCCAAGTAGGCCGTATTAAAACTCCAGCACACCAATGACCGACAAAACCGAAAGCGGGATGTAACAACTGCAAAGATACCTGATGAACATATTGAAATTCTATACAGTTAACTTGACTTTTAAAAGCTAGAAGTAGTTTGTTTAAAAGAGTGTCTGGTCCGACTGTCCGATGAAGAATTCAGAACATAGGAGCAATTTGATAGGAGCTTGGGTGTGCTTAGAAAGTTAGTTTTGATATTAGCTCCCCCCCCCCAAAAAAAAATTTTCGTTTCATACCCTATGTAGTGAGGAGAAGGGATTTTATAATATTTCCTGTGTTAAAGCACCTTCCCCTCTTATATTACCTACATTGCGCCCCTGATTCAGAAATCTGGATGCTCCTTTTCAAAAAACAGTTCTAGTCCGGACGTACCTACGTAAAGAACATTTGTTAGCTTAGTTACCTGCCAAGGCCAGGCACCTCTCGTAGTCTCCTTGCCGTTAACCAACCTAGGTTTCGATCCTTCGAACCTGGGCTGCCGATAACTCGTCACTCCATTGTTTAATCCGCAATCTAAATGCACAGTTCACAAGATTTCGTTAAAATAAATGATTGACAACGGTTTAAACTACAAAATAAAAACGTAGACAGTGTAAAATAAAATTATAAGCATGTAGAGCCGGCTATGATGGAGGATATTAACGGCACTTCTTCGTACCCCACATTTTTTGGGATCCTTGAGCCCAAAATAAAAGAAATTGTAATTTGAGTCGACAATCTATAATAAAGTAAATAAAAATGTTGGCTTTAAGAAGTATAAAATATGTACCAGTTGTGACTCGTAATCAATTATCATTTTTGTATATTGGGTGAGGCAGTGGTCACTTCGGCAGTCCCTAATATCCAACTGAATCCTCCTAAAGTGAAATTTTGTTTTTATCTGTTATTGATCAACTGTCAACTTTAATAACACTGAGAACTAAAGAATATTACGAAATAATATGTGATTGTTTTACCTTTTTGGACTTTAAAATAATTTTAACAACGAAAAAATACCGAAGAAGCAGCTAAAAATACTTGTAGCCTCAAAAGAAAACGTTTTGGACGGACTGTAAAAATAATTAGTTTTTCGGAATTTATACATAAGACTTTTTTCTAAGCTAGCAAAAATGAGTAACAACCATTTTATTAACAAAACGTTGATTGAAATAAATGTACAATGAGCTTTTCCAAATGTTGAAGTCGCACTATGAAAATATCTTATAATTATATGATGACCAAAAATTGTAGTAGTGAACGCGCATTTTCAAGAGTGAAAATCTTAAAAAATACTACTCAATACTACAATGCATGATAATCGTTCAAACTTTTATTAATTGTATTTCAACTGAGTACTTTAAATTACATTGTTTTAAAAACAAAAGAGAACATTCAAGAATTATCAAAATCAAATTCCGTTTTATGCAATAAAAAACGTTATTATGAATTGGTTTATTCTAAATAATTTTACACGAGTCATGGTAAACTACAATATTCTAATAAGTACCATAAATTCATCAATCAACGCTGAGACAAGGTCGGCGGCCTACAGTCATTTAGATACCATGCGGCGGTCCGCAGCTGTATTATGCTTCTGACCATCCTTTTATTCCTGAGCTCCTGGTACTAAATTCCATGTTATCACGGTTCTTATCTCAGAATAACCAGAAGGGACACCTAGGCCGGAACTTATGTGTGTCCGACGTTTTGTTTTTGCAAGTTATTACGCATTTTTCTGAAATTATTTATAGTCTATCAAGTATAGCCTGGCTCCCAACCGCAAAATCAATATGGCAGACGGTCTTTATCGGCAGTTCCCTTTCTGATTATTCTGTGATTTGATCTTGGAACAACTATAAATATATATGATAAAGTATGATAACGTGATTATAAATTTGAACCCAACCTATCACATAATTATATTATAACTACATATGTATTAACACGCATTAACCTAGATAGACGACTTCAAGTTTTGTATCGAGTATGGCGGCCATAGGCTAACGGAATAGATGAAAGCAAAAGGGTCACTTTTAATGTAAACAAAAAAGTGACGAACTATGTAGTATTATATGTTACATCTATCCACAACAAATAACGGTAATGAATAGATAATGTTGTAGTCTTAAGAAGATAGTCGCCGCGTTATTGTGTGATATTTATCTTCCCCGTGTTAGTTTTGATCAGTGTTCGCGGACTGGAAGAACCTTGATAACACGGATCCGGCGGCCATCGCGGTTTGCCTCTGACGATCCTCTTTTCTCCTGAGTTCCTGGTACTAAAACCCATGTTATCAGGGTCTTATCTCAGAATAATCAGAAGGGAAACCTAGGCCGGGACTGATAAGGGTCCGACATTTTATTTTTACGGGTTACGTGAAATTATCACGCTTGTCCTGAAATCATCTATAGTCCATCTAGTATGCTCCCAGTCGCAAAAAATAATATGGCAGTTGGTCTATCGGCAGTTTCCCTTCTGGTTATTCTGTGATTTGATCTTGGAAGAACCTTGGTACCACAAATCGGTAAGGCCACCTCAACGATGTTATGCTTCCGACGATCCTTTTTGCTCCAGAGCTCCTGGTTTTAAATTCCGCTTAATTTTAGTTTAAATCATGATCGGATAGTCGGCGGTAATTATTTTGCAATTAGGTTTTTGCAATTATCTATTAACCTTGGGATTCGTGCAAATCTAGATTGCAACATCTATTTTGACCAGGAGCTCATGAGACTTATGTATGAAACAAGCAAGGACGACGGATTCGTGACATAATGTACAGAAAAACATTTATCTTGTACCAGGACCGCATGAGTGTTGACTAACGCGGAGACAACGCCGTATGCATTTTGAATGCACACGGTTAGGTTAGGGTAGGTTATGTAAGGTATTGATTTTTAAAACTCAATGGGTTAGGTTAGGTTAGTTAATGCCGCTTACCGCTGCAGTCACTACCACGATGGTTTGTTCTCCTGAACTCCTGGTTATTATCCATGTTTTCAAGGCGTTCCTAGTGCACAATATTGTGACGTAAACGATGGGAATATTTTCATATTTTCATATTTTTAGGAATATTTTCCACTGGGATTTTTGCTGTTAATAATAAAAAAATGTATATTTTGTGCTAGAAGATATGGAGACAAAGGCAAGAACGAAGGCTATCGATTATAGGATTGTACGCAGCCGCAAAGGTGGCCAGTGCGATACGAGACATTGGTAAGGCGTATATATTATACGAGTGACAAAAGCCATGACTTAAATTTACTACATTATCATATTTTCCACTCGTTATCATATAACCAATTCACAAAATGGCTGCGTTAGGGAATATCAAAGCCTTTAGTACCCAGACTAGACGATTGTAAGTCCAAAAATGATGGTATTTATGTTATTACAGTTTTGTACTTAGAATCTCTTTCGCATCGAGACACGCCATCGAATCAATATGTCGGATAACGGTCATGAATTTCTGGGACAAACACACGTCTTATCAATTTTGATAACGCCGTGACGACATTATTAGCTCTCATAAAGGTTTGTTTCTATAAACTAGTGAGAATTTTTTTCAATTTATTCCATTTATTCCGTGACATTTCATTACGTTCGTCGATCTATTCGTTGGCCAACGTTTCGAAACTGATAATTTGGACCGTAGCGGCATGGCTACAGAAAAATCCGAGGGTGTGTGGATGATACGGGTCAAAGGAGCCGCCTTGTACACTACCCAGTGTTGCCAAATAGTAAAATACTGCTTTTATATTCAGTAATTCCCAGTCAGTAATCACGCTTTTATGAGCTAAGATAAGCGTTGTAATATAAACCATGACTCACAAGCCTACATTTAAATCGGAAGAGTAGGGCCAAATTGGTTCACACGCTTGCCTCATGCTTACGGCCAAAGTATATACCTAATTGATTGCGTCTCCCTCATGCCCCGCTTATACTGCTGCGGGATTAACAACGTTAGGAAGAGATATAGGCATAGTTTGGGATTCAATGAAAATAAAAAGCACGAAACAATCTGAAAAAAGTTAATTTAGGGGTTAAAATCACATATATATATTGCACGAATTAAAATACCTGTATAGCCAATGACTTATGATAAACCATTGTTATCTTGTCCTCAGAATTGATTCAGGAATTACAAAAGGTACGTAGCGCCATCTATCGTACTAGTAGCAATTTACTCTTCTATAACTCGTATATTTACCACTGTAATTTAAATTATGTATTATTGTGACCCACGGTGTAGACAGTTTAAGGGACACCGTTGGCTACCCTGTTACATTAATTCTTTATATATAGTAACCTAGATAGCCGATAGCTTGAATTTATACTGAATAATGACCATACTAAGATAAGGACTTTGATAACATGGTGCCAGAAGCTCAGGAGAAAAAGGATCGCCATAGGCATAAAGCCGGTATCCCACGGCCCGTGGCGCGGATCGATAACGCGCCGTGGAATTGGTGTGCGGCGCAGCTCGGCTTGGGCGTTCCCGGCAATTGTCAGTGTTTTTTTCACATGCCAAAGAATACCCGCGCCACGAGCAGCGTTACGTGCCGTGGGATCAAGGCCGTGCGACAGCCGAAAGAAACCGATTGCAAAATTACTGTATAAACGGCGGTTATTCCCGACCATCATTTTTCGTGGAACTTACTACCAGGAGCTCAGAAGCAAAAAGGATCGTCGGTAGCAATAATAGCGTTGGAGGTGGCCCTACCGACTATAATAGATAGACTATAGATAATTTCAAGACACGCGATTATACGTAATCCGCAAAAATAAAATTTCGGACACTTATGAGTCCTGGCCTAGATTTCCCTTCTGATTATTCTAAGATAAGACCCTGATAACATGAAATTTAGTACCAGGAACTCAGGAGAAAAGAGGATCGTCAAAGGCAAACCGCGGTGGCCGCCGGATCCGTGTTATCAAGGTTCTTCCAGGCCGCAAACACTGCTCAAAACGGGGAAGATAATTATTACACAATAACTTGGCGACTATCTTCTTAAGGCTACACCACTATAATGTTAAATATATACATAATCATTAGTTGTTGTGTATATATGTAACATATTTAAATAATAATACGTCACAAAATGGCCGTCACTTTTTTGTTTACATTAAAAGTGACCCTTTTGCTTTCATCTATTCCGTTAGCCTATGGCCGCCATACTCGATACAAAACTTGAAGTCGTCTATCTAGGTTAATGCGTGTTAATACATATGTAGTTATAATATAATTATGTGATAGGTTGGGTTCAAATTTATAATCACGCTATCATACTTTATCATATATATTTATAGTTGTTCTAAGATCAAATCACAGAATAATCAGAAAGAAAACTGCCGATAAAGGCCGTCTGCCATATTAATTTTGCGGTTGGGAACCAGGCTATACTTGATAGACTATAAATAATTTCAGAAAAATGCGTGATAACTCACAAAAACAAAACGTCGGACACACATAAATCTCGGCCTAGGTTTCCCTTCTGATTATTCTGAGATAAGACCCTGATAACATGGATTTTAGT